AGGTCAAGAGATCAAGACCATCTTGGTCAACATGGTGAAACCCCGTCTCTACTAAAAATATAAAAATTAACTGGGCATGATGGCATGTGCCTTGTAGTCCCGGCTACTCAGGAGGCTGAGGCACCAGAATCACTTGAACCCGGGAGGAAGAGGTTGAAATGAGCCGAGATTGCGCCACTGCGCTCCAGCCTGGCAACAGAGTGAGACTCCATCTCAAAAAAAAAAAAAAAGAATTACCATTCAACTCACCAATCCCATTACCAAGTACACATCCAAAGGAAAATACATTGTTATGCCGAAAGGACACCTGCACCCGTGTGTCCATTGCAGCGCTATTCACAACAGCAAATACATACGGTCAACCCAAGGGCCCGTCAACAAGCAAGTGGATTTTTTTTTTTTGAGATGGAGTCTCACTCTTGTTGCCAGGCTGGAATGCAATGGCACAATCTTGGCTCAATGCAACCTCCACCTCCTTGGGTTCTGTAAGGTCTTTTAGGCTGACTGACAGTGCTATGGATGCCATGTTACCCTCTGTGACCTGCACGGACACCCCAGATGAGTTCCTGGAAAATCTAAAGCAACAAGAACACCATGAAAAGAGGAAAAAATGATCAACCCCTGTGGCATCCACTTAACTTTGAGACATTCTCTATTGTTCCTTATTCTGGCCCTAATTGATAAGGCTATTGGACTTTGTAACCGACCTTGGACAACCCTAGGACCCTACTTTACACCCTACGATCCCCTCCCAGCCTGCAAAAAATCACCCTAAACTGTAACTTTCCACTGCCCACCCAAACCTAGAAAACCAACCTCTATCCCTCCGCCTTTGCTGATGCCCTTTTCGGCCTCAGCCCACCTGCACCCAGGTGAATAAACAGCCATGTAGCTCACATAAATCCAGTTTGGGGGGTCTTTTCATTCAGCACACACATTTTAACAGGTTCAAACAATTCTTCTACCTCAGCCTCCTGAGTAGCTGGGATTACAGGTATGTGCTACCATGCTGGGCTAATTTTTGCATTTTTAGTAGAGACGGGGTTTCACTATGTTAGCCAGCCTGGTCTCAAACTCCTGACCTCAAGTGATCCACCCAGCTCGGCCTGCCAAAGTGCTGGGATTACAGGCATGAGCTGCCATGCCCGGCCCCAGATTGGATTTTTTAAATGTGATACACAGGTATCATGGAATACTATGCGGCCATAAAAAAATAAAAGAACAGAATCATGTCTTCTGCAGCACCTCCAGCTGGAGGCCATTATCCTAAAGGAACTAACACAGACATAGAAAACCAGATACCACATGTTCTCATTTATAAGCACAAGCTAAACATCAGGTACATATAGAAATAAAGATGCAGAT